CTTTTATACATATATAAAATTCTGTTGTCACAATATTTCCTTAGTCCTCCAAACGGTGACTGATTTTTACCAAATTTTATATGCATATTCATTAGGTCTGAGAATCGGCTACTGGCTATTTTTCATATACATAAGTGATGATGATAAAACAACGTTTGCAGGGTCGGCTAGTACTCATAGAATAAAAAATCTTAAATTGGGACAAAGTAGAGTCACCTACAAAAAAGTCAGGTATTTGGCCATTGGGACAAAGTAGAGTAATTGGCCTATAAAAAAGGTAGTTTAAATTTGCCATATTCTAAATCAAAAATCTTGTTTGAGAAATTAGAGTAAAAATGACACTTCCCTGAGTAATGAACTTTCCTCTAGCTAAATATAGTACACTCGTACGTAGTATAATAGTGTTGGAATCGTCGCGGGACTCCTGTCTCCAGGGAATGTAGCGGGAAGCCATATTAAATCGCACGTCGCCGACTGTACTGTGAACAGGGAGCCTTATTGCGCGCTCTTTAAAATCTTCTTACTTCACCTCAACGATATTGAACAAGTTTCCAACTTAGAATGTTCGTAGTTAATTCTAAAAGTGAGCTCGTTTAGTGAGAAATCTTTGTTTGGTGTTTGCTTTTCCAAGTTAATGATCGAAGGGGTACTTTAAGATGTTTTGACAGGTTATACATATGGGTATTTAGGTTTCAACTTTGGCGTACAAGTCAGAAAATGGCTGAAATAATGTATATACCTAAAGTATTTAAAAATGTTAGGTATGATAATATAAAACAATTTCTTTAAAAAAAGCACATTTAATTAAATAAAACATCTTGAATGCAGTACAAAAGCCGCACCTCACTACTTCAACGAAGCGCTGTAGAAAATTCCAATTAATTCCTCCCAGGTATTTGCAGTTCAACTTTAAATTTAAACTCGTAAAACCTTTTCGTAATAAATTTTCTTATTCAATATCTCGAGCTAAAGTGATGTTAGACGTAAAAAGTGTGAGCAGCTGCCGGCTGCGGATTGGTTTAGAAAGTAGTGTTCGCAAGTAGTTAGCAAGGGATAAGTTCCATGCTCCAACTTGCATTAGAGTTTAACAAGAGATGCATTTTAAAATGTCCAGCAGAACTTTGGCCGAACAAAAGTTGTTTGTAAAACCGGCCTGGTGCTTACAATGCGGGCTCAAGACCAATGTTCTTTTAATTTGAAGAAAGTAACTTGAAGTGATCGAACACAACTGAAGTCCAAAGTCGCAAAACTAAGCCATTTCATATCGGATGTGGTATAACATTATTAAAATACGTAAGTAGGTAAGTTTTGCACATAGCGAGTAACTGCCTAGCCTTCACATATTGGTTGGTTAACATCCATCATTTACAAACCCCTAAACGGATAGGGCGGGTATCGTAACGCTACGTCAAACAAGATTCATCAATCAATTTACTCGATTCCAAATAACAAGAAGCAAGTCGGTAAAAATGTTGCACTCGAAACCAATAATAATGGAAACAAGAATCGGATTCTTTCTCTTACTTTACTTCGAGATGTCAAATAAAAACCGTATCGAAGTGTTCGCTGTAGTATTTTTCTTATATTAGAAAGCTGGGAGTACAATGTCTTGGTAAGAAATAAAAGAGAATTAGCCTCGGTTCATCGGATGGCTAAACTGTGTAAGAATCTTTAAATGGTGCTCAGCGCCGTGAATTATAGCTCTCCACGCCCCTGTTTCAGACACAATTTATTGGCTCCAAGTCACCTGTGGGACGGTAACAAGCTACTGTTTAGATATTCATATTAAGTCTGATTTCACAGAGTCTGTATTAACTTAGACTAGTTATCTATGTTTTCTTATACCTTACGCTAGTTTAGTGTTCGCTTGAGCAACGGGAGAGCATTTATACAAGTAAAATATTGTAGTTTTGAGATTTCGTTTTCTCTAGTGGTGCAAGACTGGTTGAAACCTCATCACGCTTATGTAGACTACATAAAAAAATCTCGGACAATTTATATTATTTAAAATATAATATATTTATAAACATACGATTGTATTTATGTATACGTTTATTTTTCCACTTTCATCATCTTACCTATAGCTGTCTACATAGGTGTGTATGTGATATATATATAATAATGCCTCATAATGCTTCTTTCCTGACGTAAATAGAGAGATATTTAACGCATCATTCAGAATAATGAATGCTGGACATTGGCACGCCATTCATTCTCTTTGTTTGAAGTTGTATAGCCATAGTTCATGCTGGGGTAGGTCCCCAGCGTGACACTACTATTTGGTTAATATGGGGAATAATCGTGTAAGTCCACAATATGGTTTCTGATCCTTACATTAATACTAAGAAAGTCCTCATTATTAGTTGTATCTTTTATAGTTCATACTCAAAGAAAATATTTACAAGAATAAAATAGTACACACAAAAAATGTAGTCTTTTATTTTAAGTTAATTGAATACTTACAAATATTACTTTTGAAATTTAATATTACAGAAAATAAAATTAGTCTCTTCACATAGTGTAAAGAATAGACCAATATTTAAGTAAAAAAGTGCCTATCGTACATCCCTTCGAATTCCTAAACCTATAAAAACTTGGACAGGAAAATAAATTAGTTTTGAATACCCAGCTAACTTATTACTTAAAGTTGTAACAAAAACTCGTACACTATGCCTTTCCATAGACGAGGGTAGCTTCTATACTAATCTATGGATTATGTTAATGCGAACTTACTTATACAGGAATCGAATCTTTTTCAAAAGATACTCTTTTATTTATATTCAAATCTTTACAGAGTAAAAAGTATGTAAATTGTGAAAAGGGTATAAGGTTACTTTATATGTAGTTTGTCATAGAATTACATAACGTAAACAGGGTTTTGGAGTAGTATCGTTAATATATGTTTTACGGAAGTTTTAACACAAAAATGGAATGTTGTTGTGTTGTTACGGCGGGGTAGTTTTTGATATGGGTTCTTAGGACGCGAAGGGAAGAGGAAAATGTGTTAAAGAGCTATCAACTTCTTTAAGAAAGCCTTCCTTGAGATGATACTTGCATCTAGGCGCGCTTTTGTAGTAATAATCACTACATAGTATTAAACAAAGTCACTTTATCTGTCCCTATATCCCTATGTTTGCTTAAATCGTCAAAACTAGGCAACATATTTTGAGGCGGTTTTTTTAGTAGATAAAGTGATTGAAGAGAAAGTTTCATGTGTTTCATCAATTAAATAATGGAGAAATGATTATCAGTATTGCAACCGTCCGAAGTATTGAGAATGAATAAAGGAGGAATTTAAAAGCATTATATTTACAACAATAATTATATTCCGTAATAACTAAAAACCTCAGTTAACTTCGCATTCCCGTGTATTCGCAAACAACTTAGTTCACCGGCATTCCGGGCGGCGGCGCTCCGTTTTTACGATTTATGAAACGACCGTTATTTAAAAGTCTTAAAAAATATACCATCCAATTCCAATTTACGAAACTTTTGCTTTGAAGTATTTTTTTCTTGATTCATCAGCATTTAATGTCAACAAAAGGGATTTCAAACACTTTTAATTACAAATTAGTAAACTCGGCGTTTTTCAAAGAGAAATCAGTTTTTCTTTGTAATTATTATGCAAAGCTTAATTAACCGTGCGCAAATTAATTTACTTTAAAGAAAATTAGGGTGACAGTTTTGTCGAGACTTCCTACGAGATATTTCGTCATTATAAAAATTGCTAATTTTCCGTTTTTATGATTTTATGACGAGGATCTTCCGCTGCCTAATTAAAAATATTCTTTACGACAAAAGAAGCAAGAAATAATTCTATAACATATTTCAGAATAATATTTTCCCTCTGTTTTGTATGCAGTGAGTAGTTCCCTCTCGATTGAAACATCGATATAAGAGCCGAGAGCTTTCCTCGTAGCTATATATATGTAGACACATTAGTCAGATTGAAACCTCTTTGCCAAACTTAGAATTGCAAAATAGTGACTGCAACCGCTCCCCGATGTTGTTTGATTCTAAGAAACACATTTTATAGTGAGTATTGTGGTATTCAATATTCAATGATATAGATCGGTATTTATTCGTTTTTGATGTAGCGAATAAATTGTGGAATGGTTTTGTAAACTTTTACACTCAAAATAAATACGTTTCTTAGTAAGAAAAGTGGAAAGATAAGGTACGTAACGTTGTAACAAAATATTCGTGTACATAACTTTTAAAATAGGTAATTTGTAGTTCAAATTCCTCCATGAATACATTAGTGCAGACGCAGTAGATTACAATTAGGTACACTGCTACTCTATTAAAACTTCGCGCGTACTTTAATGAGTGTTTTATTATATTCGTGCAACATACATAAATCGTTGTGCATTTGTTTCCCTCGAGGAGGTTAATCAAAGTCGAGAGACGCTCCACGTCAGCGGAAACTAATTTGATCCAAAGTTAGCAGTCGCGGACAAGTTATTTACTATACAAGTTATGATCTTAACGCAATATACATAATATCAACAGGATCCTCGAACTTGGAAATAAGTCTGCCATGTACCAACGTACAGTAATCAAACATGTATCTCGTAAGTGCGGTACGAGTCAACCACCATAACTGAAACTTAGTTTAAACTTCGATTATATTGGAGCTTAAGCGCGCTCTACCTTGAAATATGGTGAATACCTTTGGGTCGCTTGGTCGGGCGTATCATTTAAATAACAAGATTGCCCCACGTCTTTATACATCGACCGAGCTAATTATGTTCCTCGAAGCCCATTCTGTTTTCCTTATAGTTGGAGTTCAATAACTATGATGTAATTGTTCGTAATGTATTCGATGTAAAACGATATCAACGAGCTTTGGTGGAACGAACAAACTATTCAATTGTTTTAGCGGAAACATTTCTTGGAATGATCACACATTTATCCATATATTTTAACTTTATCTCAGCCCATTCGTAGACGGGCTATCGTCGGCCACTGAATAATGTATGTGTGATAAGAGTACTGACCTTCTTGGGCTTGCCATTCTTGCGGAGCAGCTTGGCGCAGCAGAGGCCGCGGGTGTCGGGCAGGGGCGGCGGAGGCCGGCGCGACCAGCACAGCCGGCGCGGGCTGGCCGCGGCGCCCGCCTCGCTGCGAACCTCTTCCTTATCTTCGCACATTACCACTACCTCCTACCACCCTACCATTACACAACCCACGAAAAATCACAACCTCCGAGATATCGATGCTTTATGAGAACCTCTGGCATTGTTTCCCCTATAAAACTACGAACGCCGGCGATAGAACTATCTAGAACGGTGTACGTTATAGAAAATAGCGACGATTTACAAAATCCTTTCCTCTCGGTTCCTACTTAAAGCGTTACAAAAATAAACTAGAGGGATCTTAAGCGATTAAGTTCGATAGCTTTGTACTATTATAGGAGATAATAATAATTTGTGTTGCACTGCTATGATAACTCTACGGGAAGCTGTTTTAACGTCCGATTCAGCATCTGAAACAAACAGAGATGCGTTCATTAATATGTAAAACGCGCCATGATCATTCAACGTCACCGAGAATGACAATGCAATTATTGCAGCCGAATGTGTAATAGGCATTATTTTGTGTTGTTGCCTTGTTTACGGTTGAACCTTATGTAAAATTATAAACTTTTAAAGCACTTTAAACTATTCATTTAGTTGTTATTTAGTGGTATTCGTTGCCGCGTAGTTCTTCCTAAGTTTCTTATAGCTGCTACTTTCTTTTTGTTAGCTACATACTAGAATACTGTAGCTATCTAAAAATATTAGAAATTACACATATCCGATCCACTCCGACTATTTCCAACTTCCAACGTTCAACAAACATGTTTGGTTGTAAAATCGACGATGAAATAAAATTTCGAACAGCTCACAAAATAACTGCTGTTTTGATCTATGAATAAAATATGAATAGTGTTTTTGCATTCGTTAGTTTTAGGTACATAGAAACATGTATACCTAAAGTTTCACCGAAAATATTTAACTTTACGTAGTTTTGTTATTTTATGTTCCATTTACCTAAAATACAAAATATTTTGTACTACGAAAGCTTTGCAAAAAAACCACACGAATTTTATAAAACAAAACAAAAAAACTTATTGAAATCATAATAAAATAGAAAAAACAAAAAGCGACAAAGTAACAAAAAATAACAAATGAAATTAAAGCATTTAGAATCTTTTATACAGTCATTAAAAGATTTTTATTGTCATTTCTATCATAGGAAAGTTTATTCATTTATAGCATTTAATTTTATTTACAAACTTTAGCCATTAATGGCCGAAACTGCCTACAACGTTCAGTTTATGCCCGGTTCCTATAATTGAGAAACGATCCGTTTTAGTTACGAATAGTAGTTTTATATACGACTCGTAAGCTAAAACCGTTCCTATAACAAACGTCTCGTCGTGCAACTTACTGACGGTTTGCAACTAACGGATGTCGGTAAGCGAATTGTATGGAGATCTATGGTGTCTGTGGTGTTCCTATAAATATTTTAACCGTCAGTAGACGGTCAAGATAACTATTCGTAATGTCATTTGGTCGTAATGCGTATACAACGACGATTCGTTAAATATAGGAACCGGGCATTAATGAACCGAAACAAAGGAAAGGAGAATCAAAACAGATTTCAGATTAAGTTAACAATAAAATTTAACAGTCCTTTTTGTATCGATAAACAATACTTAATACTTATTTAAATATACATTGTTTTAGCTATTTTAAGTAAGTCAACCGGCAACGTGAATGAACTTAGGAAAGGAGGTCCAAATTACGAGTTTTTCTGTTCTGTGTTTTATTTCAAATTCTTTCTATAGTTTCTTTTAGAATGTTACTTGGTCAACTTTTTGCTAAGAAAGTTGGCATCATTTCGTTATATCGCGAGTACAAATTCTTTCTTGCGTACTACAGAGAATCGTAAAACCCATAAGTTTACAAAGAAGGAGCGAATTTTAAAATATATTCAAGTTGCACAAACAACGGGTTCGCCCGTCTAGTACAATAAGCAACTTCGTTACTTTACCCGGTCTTTGTAACGAAGCTCGGTTCAAAATGAACTTAGACTAATTTCCATGTAATTTACGTTCGTAGGTACCACGGATTTGGAAGGCAGTCGTAAAGTAAAAATGTTACTTGTACACCGCGCCCTGATGAATATTAAACACAACATGGCTAATGAATGCGCCAACTTGCTCGACATAATTACGCCAACTCATTGAATTCTTTGCCAAACTCACCGACACTTATTTAAATTCTTAACGCTTGTTCCCTAAGGGGGAATCTGTGCTCTCCCTAATGTGTGGACTTAAAAGACGTTTTTTTCTTTACGCATCTAGAATAAGTTTCATCTTAGTTTCAATTAATTAGCACTGTTCATAATAAGGAGTGATATCGAAGGAGCCTTCTACATATGCACAGAATAAGTTTTAATTAAAATAAAAGCGAGAACTGAATTGGAATATGGTTCAACACGTAGATAAAACCTGCACCAGTGTGGTGCGCGGTGTAAGGATACCTTCATTACAAAGCATAGTTCACACCGCAATTTTGGAATCATTCCAACAGCTAATATCCCATTCTGTTTGTCTTTCGAGGCAATAAAATGACTTTTATGCAAATCATACGAATTCTATACATTTTTGATGAGCCACCGACGACGCATTCGCGCCGTTTAATTAATACATTTTCCATCAAAACTTCGAAAGTTTCAAACTCCTGAATATTTTTTATAGATTTATTTGCGTAAATTAATTATTACTTCGTTTGTTTTTCATTATAAATATCTTGATAAATATGTCTTGTTATAATGTTTTGATAGACATAAAAGAATATGCGAATCAGTAAATAAATTTTAAATATCTTTGACTTATATTTCCGTGGTTTGATGACTGAAAAGCAGATACCTAAGAAGCAATTATTTTTAATAGCAACGTAAATGAAATGCTTAAGATTCCTTTGGACGAGGATGAGAACCTACTGAGGATAAAATCTCTTTTATATCGTTGCTCATTAATGAGTATAAATAAGTGCAAGCCTCCACTACCGTACACTCAAGTTTGTTGACATGTCGGCAAATGACGGGGCTTTTTCGTTTTTCCACTTTTCCACTCTCGTGGAGTGAGCCTTCGTCTCGACGTCGACTCCGCATAAACTGGTTTTATTATAAAATCAAGCGAGTTTCACTCAAAAAAACGATAAGTACTCTTGTCTGGCGTTTGAACAACATGGAAATAGGAGAGTTGAAAGGAAAATTAGCAGTATATTATATAATGAAGTCTATTTTGTTTTCTTGCTTTTGTTTACACGTGTGCTTTGAGATAAAAGGGTAAAAGCGTTTAGATTTTATTTTGTTCGTAATAGTAATGCAAGGATTTTGTGCAGTACAAATGAAATGAGCGTTTAGAGAACTAATTAATTATTTTCTTGTTTTATTTATTGTTATGCTTTATCCGTTTTGGAATACTTAGTTTTATTTTGTGTTTTTCTATTTGAGTTATTCACGCATCTAAAATTAAATGTTATGAGTTGAGTATTGAATTTAAATAAAAAAAACCCTAAATTCGTTTTCTAGTTGCTTATTTTTTTTCAATTGCTTAATTTATAACTTTGAAATCAAGTTTTTGCAATTATACTTATTTTATTTATAGGTATATTTTTATATCGTTAGTTTTATGTTTATCTCAAATTATTTGTATAAAAATATATGCTACAACCCAACAGCGAAACTGAGAAGTATTTGTAAACTAGTGACTGGTCCCGGCTTTGCACAGGTAACGATACTAAATTTCTCCACTATTTAATAAATGTTATTGTACATATAAACCTTACTCTTCAATCACTCTATCTATTAAAATAATAACCGCCAAATCCGTTGCGTAGTTTTGAAAATTAAAACATACATAAGTATATAGGGACAGACAAAGCAACTTTATTTTATAGTATGTAGTGAAATAACGTCAATTCTTTTGTTCCAAAAAAAAAGAAAATATGACAGGAATCATCAAATAACTTTGAGTACGGCGGTAAAACTTTATTAACCAATGGCCTGAATTTATTATGCTTAAGAATTGATATAGACAAACTTGTTATCTTTACCATAGACGTTTGTCTATCAAAAGAGTATAACATAAAGTATTTAAAACAAAAAATATAAATAAGCTTATGTAAAATAATTATAATAAATTATATTTTTTTCTTTGAAATTTTGTGGTTAAAATACTATCATCCTGTCATCTAATAAAATGTCGCATTGGAAAAAAAATATTTGCTGTGCCTGACAGGGTCCATAATTGATTGTATGTAAACTTTATGGCATACAATAAAGTATTGAGAATTGAGTGTTAAATGAACTATGCAAGTTTTAATTTTATAAGACTAATATAAATTTATATCGCAACTTAAATAAGAAGCATCTTACTATTTTCGCATTAGACGGAAGTTTTAATTCATAGCTTTTAAGAAATGTAAGCTGGTGTGCACTCATGAAAAAAAAATACAAACTTTAAAAAATACTTATGATTTTTAACCTGTTATCTGCCGGTATATGACAAACAATAGAAACTCATTATGCCTCGCGTGGATCCTTGCTCACAAGTTAATCCATGATTCTTATATATAAGCAAGTTAATTCTTCAGCTTCGTTTATCATACAAAAAGATAGGTTTTTTTTATATAATTGTATATACTCAGTATTTTTACTTAAATATTAAATAAATCAGAATCAGATAGATTGTCAGAATTAATTTTCAAACTATTTATGAAAGATTTCGATATAGTTCGGTTTTCTTCTTACTTGTTTTTTTTTAAATTCACTCTTAGTTTTGTACACATAAAGTAAAAAAGCTAACAATGCAGAAAAATACTTACTTAAAACAGAGCATGCATTTTTATTCTTCTATGTTCACTTTAGCGTATCGAAGTGAAATAAAAATAAACGTTTGATAAGCATAAATCTATGAATTTAATAATAATGAATCTTACCTAACGATTAATGAGTCAGAAATATAATCAATCTACACATGAGATCCACCCGCGACAATCCAAGCCTTATTTATGAAAACGACTTCGTACAAAGTTCAGTAGAAAGTTTCGTAGCACGGACTACGCTACGCTACGCCGTAGCCGAGAGCTGTAGCCGCTCTGAACTGGCGCCGGTCCGACGCCAGGCTTTTATTCGAGCCGGTCGAGTCTCCCTTCCCGCCGAAACATCCCCCCAATTCGGGCTCACTGAAATTCTCGAGCCGAACTCCTACGGGCCGTTGTAATAATGCCTCACAAAGAAATAAAGGCTCTTGCGATTTGAGCATTACATCTACTTTGTTAAACTTAATTATGAAAATATTTGCTTAAACAGACGTGTTTTGTTTTGAGTATCTCGTAGATGCTTGCTTGACAATAAAAACATGTTCTTTTTATTTTATAAGAACCTTTAGCAGAATACGTATAAAGATTTGCTACGCATATCTAATCTTAGTAAAGGTCACAGGTACCTACTAATAACTTTATCAAAAGATCAGGATTATGCTGTAATCTACTTAATATCTTAAAATTATAATGAAAACCATAAACTCAGACTTCTTTGTTATATAATAAAAGTCATAAAAAATGTATTCTTTGCGTAATAAATTTCAAAGTTATTAAGTTACGCAGATCGAGTCATTTGGTTTTGAAGTGAAAAAATATGACAAAACTGTGTGCTGTTTGTACATGCAACAATTTCTGTTAAAGAAAGACTAAACCAGCTATACTTCAAGTGTGCTCTGTGGATCTCTGGGTTATAGAGCTCCAGGCACCCACAAAGCAAACTTTCAAGGGTACAGCATGAATGCTCTATCTCTCTCTCTCTCTCTCTCTATCTTTAATATCAAACCTAATGTTATCTGATTGATAAAACACAGGTATAATAGTAAATATTATTAATTTTAATAAAAAAAAATAATTTTATTATATACTAATGAATGCACAAAGCTTTTTTCGGGTTTTCGTAAAAACCTAACTATTTAAAAGGGTTCTGATATAAGAACATCGAGAGAAACGTTTATCTGTTCGTAAATTAATTCAGCCGTGCCTCTTTTAGGCATCCACCTAACTATTATAATTATCGATCTCTAATATCTATTGTCATTGGTAATATTCTAATGAGAACACAGACTAAAGGCTTTGTCTACTTTATAGAACATCATCATCACCCTATATAAGTGTGCCTACACTTCTGTTGCTTTTTCCCACATGAATAAAGTGCGTTAATTACCTCAAGGCAGATTAAGATTAGGATTGTAAGATCAGGAATAAGAAGTCCAGTTATTCGTTTCTACTCCTTTATCGTAGCTATGTCAGTGATGTCCAAATAACGTAAGAGTGAAGAACACTACAGAATCATAGGTATTAAAAGAAAATAATTTGCAATATGCATATTACCTAATAATGGTTTTTGTTCAAAATAAGACAATTAATTTAGGGTATAACTACTACACCATTCAAATGAAACCCTTGAGATTTTGGAGAATTAGCACCGATGGTAAATACAGCTTCATGTATGTAAGCAACCGGCGCCGCCCATATACACCCGCAGCAACGATGTAGTTAAGTATACGTCGCCGACTTTTTCGGGATAACCGTTTTGGAGATTTAGGGATTGCGGAGGGTTGGGGGAGGAGGAGGATGGGACCTCCGGTAACCTCAATCACACGGCGAATCACAACGCTGTAGTTGTTTCACACCGGTTTTCTGTGAGACTGTGGTATCACTCCGGTCGAGCTGACCCATTTGCTTCTATGTTCAACATAGAAGCGGACAGTTGATTGGTAAGTTTAAAACTATCGATGAGCTTCCTACAATCAAATTGTAAGCATTATATCATACCTCCTCATCGTTCAAGTGGCAGTATTTTTAGCAACTAACTTTTTCCAAAAGTGATGATGATAACGAACAACGCTTGTAAAATTGATATTATTTAAAAGTATTTGTCAAAGCCAGATTTTTAAGACACTCAAAATATGTGTTGGTATAAACTTGACTTCAATTGGCAATATGAAGGTTGGGGTCTATTTGCTGAAAGAATAAAACATGGATGGATGTCTATGGATCGCAATCTATCATGCGAGTCCCGAACACGTGGCGAATTCATAATAAGTACATACATATTGTTGTACTCTCCATTTGTTTGTGTGTCATATTTATCTATAATATACATACCTATACTTACTTACACAATAGGAATGTTGTGTTATTAAAGATTTTTAATGTGTTGTTGTCACAGTGGAATGTAGGTAATAGGAAAATATTATATACAAACATTTGGCACAAAAATGTTCTTATACTTAGATATTCTTAAGAGCAAGCTTTGGATAAAAAGAAATTTTAATTAAAATTTTAATACTACCACCACGCATGATGTGAGTACGTGAAGTGAAGTAGATAGTCGGATAAGAATCCAATCATAACAATACTAAATGGTTTTAAATGAATAAACCAAAAACATTTGTACCTATTTAATTTATTAAAACTATCTATGTAAGACAAAATCCTCCTTACGCAGAATCATGATATTGAACTTAATGCCTACTAAACTCTATTGACATAATCCCGGAATATATCTACCAATTTACTAATTTTGAAATTGTGACTAAAAAACCTGTAAATAAAATAAAATAAACTTAGTAAGCTACGTTAAGACGACGCTTGAAAATTGTAACAACCAAAGAAAGTAATTTCCTTTATTTACTTTACTGCTGACTTGTGATGTCCCGGAGTCAGAATATAGCTAGGTATATGTAAATAAATATCTATTAATGCAACTTACCTTAAGATTACTCCGTCCTACTGTTTAGAAATCACATTATTCTCACAAACCAATGTTAACAACGATTTATAACAATTATTATAAACACCAAACACAGCACAATCCAGTTTGTTTACATGAATCGTAGCTAAATAAGATATAATATTATCATGTTGTGCTAGGGCGGGCTCGCAGCGCCGACTAGCGGCGGCTGCGCGAAGCACTCTGTAGGGCGGCGGCAACTGGGGTCGCAAGGGTGAGCGTGGGCCTTTTCCCTCTCATTCGCACACACTTCGCCTTAATTGTCGCAATACTCTATCGCGTTACGCAAAAACGACGCTTTTATCAATGACATAGGAGATATAATATTGGTACGTACGACGCGACAGAGCCCGGCTCAGCGGCCCCTCCGACGCTGCGCGTAGTGGCCTTGAGTAGGCCTGATGTTTTCATCCCGTGTGCGTAATAAAGCGCTTAGGGAGGGACAAGTGACTTTAGCTGAAGGATTTATGGAGGAATCTCTAAAATTAATTCGACCCGATTGTAGCCCCGCCGCTTGTCATAACGACGAAGCTCACAGACTTAAATGTTATTTACATAATTGTAAACGCAATACACAATGTTATCTTTATTTTACTGTTACGTAGGTAGGTAGGTATATTGTTTTTATTTATTATGCTTAGTTTTACATTACGAACAACAATACAGTTTTAATGTATTTAAGGCACGATACAATAAAAATAAAAGCCTTGAAAACAATGCATTAATATTATTTATTTGCAAAAATATATAATAAAAAACGAAATCAATCTTGAACAGTAAACATGTTGACGAAACTACATAGATGACATTTTATTAAGTACCTATAAAAAGATTCTTAAACATACAATATTTAAAATAAGCATTATTAAATAATGTAAGTTACAATTACTTGTACTTTTGAAGGAAGCATTTACAAATAATAATTACAACATTTAAATACTTAACAAATATTTAAATATTACATTTATATTTATATTTTCAACAGTAGACAGGTATTTATGATTTCAACAATATTTTTGAGATAGAAATTATCCAATGAGCATGGGCTCTAGTTTGCCAGAAGCATGTAAGGCCTTGACGTCAGTGCCTCCTCCCACACAGTTGCCATTGATGAACACTTGAGGTACCTTTCATATAACAAAACATATTATAATTAAATAAACACAATTTTATTATTCTACTAAATAAAAACAAAATCCGGTAATCAATCAATACCACCAACAACAATGAGAAGTATTTTTGGAGTATAGTATCTGGATTTGTATACTAAAAATAAATTTTATTAATAATAAAACATGCATGTCATAACTACTATAAAAAAGTAATAATTTATAGTTCAATTATTATCTGTGTAATCAAAAACATAAACTAAGTCTATTGGTATAGGTGGTAAAGGGAAACAGTCTTGGTGTCTCTTATCAAAGATGTCTTAAAAAATACATACAAAGATTATTTCAATTTATTTTTTAACTAACATTGATTTATGTAAATACCTAATTGTGAATGTCATCTACTATCTCCTTTACTAATTTTTAGACAGCTTTTAGTTAAAAAGACTTTCCAAGATTGTTAACATTTAGTTAATTACCCGAAGTAATAGATGTATAGAAAAATACAGTATTGTGCAAGGAAAATGTTACCAACTAAATAATGAGTATATTTCACCGAGTCTGTGTTTGAAATATCGCATTGACATTGAACTAGTTACGAAAAGTAAACATTACCATTACTGAAATTTTGCCATAGTACTATTTCAGACCATTCATTCAATTATAATCAGCAAAAATTTGTAAAATATTGTGCTAAAAATAAATAATGAAGAATAAAGTAAGCAATAAAACCTCTTCCTCTATTTTGGTAGATAATTAAAAAATGACAAAGATACAATGGCCTCATTGTGGTTATTTGTTAGTATTTGTTAGGTACATACCTAACCACACAATGAGAATTATTGTTAACCACAAAATTATAAGTAAACATGTGTTGGTGTCCAAAACTCATTACTTCTTTTAATTTCCATTATATTGCACTTATTCCCATTGTATTTATTTATTTCTCACGAGTGTTACGGCCACCCTACATGAAAAAAAAATTAGAGCTTATCTATAATTTACATACAGATTAAAAATAATGCGAAATAAATATTAGAACATGGTATGAGTATGCTATTCACAGAATCAATAGTTGATAATGGTTTTACCAATAAGCTTTATTATTTTGAACTGGCACCGACTCAGAATATTTACAGACCAGTTTTAAATACACTATCCAGTCATATAGATATTGCATAATGTTGTACAAGAAGTTTAAACTAAATTATTGTTAGATCTAATATTTACTTTGAAAGAAGATTGTGTATCATTGGAAAAATGTATTTTGTTTCTTACATAAACCTTATGAACTAAGCTGAGGAGTTAATTGGCTGGCCCTTTAATATGCGGCACTGATGAGTAATTAGTAATAGAAATAAAAGAAGAGGTATTTTAAACAACTTACAGTCCTGAAACCAGTTATTGCAGCCAAATTTTCTTGGATCGCTGTACCATCGTCGCGCTCATCCAGTTCATACACCTTTATTGGTTGCTTTACTTTCGAAAACACCTGGAAATGATAGTAACAAGCGTTTAATACAACTCACTTACGTTTTATTTCAATTACAATCTAATGTCAATAAAATACTGATAAACAAGCTGAGTTTTAGATATTACAAAAAAGGTAGACTTTGTACTGAAAAATTAGTAGCTATTTTATTAAAAACATTGCATAATAACCGCTTACATTATACTAAAGTTAAAAAACTTTTAAAAGCAAACATTATGACTCATTCGTGCTTTTAAGTTCCTGAGACAAACAGTAAATTTCGAAATATTCCTCACCTCCTTAGCCATGGTACAATAAGGGCAATAGGATTTTGAAAATACAACTACTTTATCTTGAGAAATTGCTTGCTTGATAAATTGCTGTATTTCTTGCGAACTCGCCATTTTGGAACTATGAGTAATTTTGCTTGCCAGAGAGCCCATCAAAGAGTGAGGTTGTAACAAAATATAACCTTTTTGGTGTCCAAAACTGTCACTGGATCACTGACGTAATGTCATTGTTTGCCAGTGACACTGTCAATGTCACTTTCCTCATTGTAAATATCGAGAATATATGTTTTATAAACCGAAAGATAAAAGGATTCTAAACACACATTGCCCACCATAAAATAGTTTCTATCTAATCTTATTTTGTAGGGAAATCTGTATCATATAAATCTTCCTTCCAACCAATTTTTCTTTTTAAATATTTAGGCGCCAATAATTCCATTTTACGTTTAGTTGTCATTGTTAGAAAAACGAGAATAAAGACTTAAAAGAAAAAATAATTTTCGTTGCTTAAAATACATAGTGCCAATACTAGAGCGGCAATTTTTAAAATAGTTAAAAATTAACTCGTCCCCATAAATTTATGGTTACTATTAGTAGCTTTGTAGGTAGCTACAAAATGCTGAAACACTTTATATCGTAAATAGTCATTAAAATTTACCATTGGGGTGTTTTTACATAAGATGAACTATGCTGTACTTATTAAGATTTGAGGAATGTAGTAGATACCTAGTTCAGACTTCTTCTTGGGCTAGAGGTTGCGATTTTTTAATGAGAGGCATTTCTCAAAATTAATAACCCTTAATTAAAATATATTTCATATTTTTTTATGTGATAGGTCGGCAAACGAGCAGGTGGATTAGCTGATGGTAAGCAATCAGCGCCGCCCATGAACACCCGCAACAGTATATATAATACAGAGGAGTAACGAGTGCGTTGCCGACCTTTTGGGGATTAGGGATTAGGAAGGGATTTGAGAATGGGAAGGATTGAGCCTCCGGTAACCTCAGTCACACGGCGAAACACAACGCTATGGTTGTTTCACGCCGGTTTTCTGTGAGGCCGTAGTATCATTCCGGTCGAGCCGACCCATTAGTGCCAAAGCATGGCTCTCCCACACGATGTATGTGAGCTGATAGAATTATTCTTCTATGAGCACACATACATTAGTTTTGTTTATTTTTTTTGTTACAAACCATGTCATTGCCCTTTTTCACCTGCAACGTTATGGAGTTTTCGTCGCCGGAATTTTGTCCGAGAGTAACAAACTTACAACTTCGTCACCGGGTTCGTCATTCTGGGGTTTAACTCTCGGCTTTCTGTGTGACAGTAGTGTCATTACGGTCGAGATGCACCGACACATGCCTCTCTTGCACTGAAACCATTACCTTTCTATTCGAACAAGAAACTTATCAACATAGCAAGGAAATAATGAAACGGTTATTTATCACAAAAATGCATCGTTCATGGATAGATAAGTAAACAAATATTATTTTTATGCCTAAGAAGTGGTGTTGAAATTTCTCATGGTGTTATCATAAGTAATCTTATCTGATCTATTTGGTATCTGCCTGTTATCAGTTGTGTTAACAAAATGCCCAGAGCACACACAACCTTTGTGATTAGAATTATCTAAGTATACGTACGAATGTAGGTAAATGTTTCTAGATAGGTACCTATATTGATACCTAGGAATAAAGCGTGTTTGGGCCAAATGCAACTTAGCATGTTTAGTTTAGCAAATTACGAGAGTTTGGCGTATTTGTATCAAAGTTTTGAATTCATACAGAAGCAAATAAATATCAATAGTGACTCGATTTTTGGCAGTTTTCTACCATGCCGTATTATATTGCCGCTTAAGACCTGAAAAAGAGTTTTTTTATTGATTTCCAACCAAAAGAAACGTTAACGCTCATCAACGCTTTAGATTTTAAATCTACAAGTGTTTTATTTATGGTTTAATGAATGAAGATTTTCAATACTTCACGATTTTATAACCTTCTACGTAGATAAGTATGATATATTCATGGATAAACACATAAAAGAAATTTACAATTAAGAGTTAAGATTTTATTGTTCCATCGTTATTTCATCCATTTTATTGTTGCTATAAATTAATGTATTTTATTCTTGGACGATAAATTTAAAATAAAACACTATAACCCGACTCTGTTAGTAGGTACCTACCTTCATTGGCTCATTGCTCTAGTCTTTCCCATAGTGGGTGACATGGCCCCCTGGTGTGGGATAAGGCCTCGGGAAGGGCGGAAAGAGAACCGACGTGTTGTTTTGGCGATTTGTTGTGTTTTCATGAGATAACATCATGCAATTTTATTAATTTTTAAAGAGAGGATAACTTCAAGTTCCTTCCTTTTCCTGCCCTACGTGGGGCGAGAGGGAGTGTCAGGCGCTTAGATACTAACTTAAAAACACCGTTTCTTTCCTGCTCCCGCCCGGTAAGTCCCTTATAAATATAATTGAGAACCTCTGGTATAAATCAAACGTAGGTACAATACTTACTCAAAATTGACAAAAACTACTACAAAAACGTCGACTTCTAATAATCTATTATATTACGTCAATTAGGTATTTTTGTCACTTTTTTTCTTTTCCACGTTTAAACGTGTTGCCAAAAACTAAACAAAAACCTATAATAGTAGGTTAAAGTCCTACAAATGTCGTGAGACAAGATACTGCGCATGGCCTTGTCTATGTGTAGAGTTCATAAATAAATTCATGTCAATATTATTATCGCGTGACACAATTTACACACCGGCAAAAAAATTAGTTAGACCATAGACGATGAGTAGGTATACATAAAATATTTAGATTATGTAGTTACATTTCAGTTCAGGAAAATAGTTAGTTCAATGAAGTTAGTAACTTTATCTTATTTAAGGTATGAAACTGAAAAAAAAAACACATAGGTAACTACTTCATAATTTTTTTATAAATAAGTAAATGGTATATTATATTTGTCTATCTATGAATTAACTCACTAATTTACAAATTATAAATTAGAATGTAATTGTAGGTAGATAAACAATGCTTGTCATTACATGGGTTGAGGAACTTGAGGATCTCCATCGTGCTCTGATAAATTAGATCATTTACGGCCTTTCTTTCTTTGGATCGTTCCATTAGACCAACATGAATATTTCGATTCCCGCGCGGAACAAACTTCGAGTGGTCCACATAACTATTGTTGTTCCGGGTCTAGGTATGATGTGTATGTCCAAATTTACATATTTAGATATATGGTGAGTACTTCCTTATTTGTAAACGGGAGCGTACGAAACAATGGGAGAAAAATCTTATTTGGAATTCTTTCCAGGCAATTTTCCCACTTAGTTAGGTACTTGGAAAATGTCTTTTACTCATCAGGTGTCAACTTGATTATGCCTTCGATTAAAAACTTTTCTATTCTTCATAACACCGTTTTTGTCACAACAAGTAATTGTAATAAAAGTGAGAACCAACACAATTCAGTTCCAGTCTTTGGGAAAAAACTCATCATAATGTAATTTATCAATTCTATGAATTACTTGACAGGTGACTGACTTTTTGTGAAATAACTTACTTACGACATTTTGGTAATTATCTACTTATGTAAGTACGTGGTAAAAATTACCTTTGACCTCGGAATATTTCGTAATCACTTAATAGTTGAGTATTGGTAGGTTGCTGAGTGTATTATATTGTAGGTATTACAGTATTATATTGTACACTTACATCAATAACTTCTCTCGCACAGAGTTGGGCGAGAAGGAGTGTCATCACTGACTCTTACTGACGAAACTTCTCATTCTTTGGGCCGAGGTGCCTCATTACGCTAGCCTCGCAACCCCGGCTGAACATCAGCTGTGGTGGTCTATTATAATTGGCTCTTTGATGTCGGCGCAGAACGCAACGTCTAGTTCTGAGGGCCTACCATGACGTAAATCTTTCAGGCGAGAAAGAGGGATGGAGCTATAAAAGTTATTTAGCTCCATCCGATTCACACTTTAACACTTCATGGTAGGCCTACTGGTCAGTCGACGAGCTACCCACATACCTACGTATTAACGTTATGTTGCATTGAAGCTTGAGGCTGCGATGTGTCGCAGCCAAACTATAACTTAAGGGTGAATGGTTGGTCGTTAAAATTGTGTTACCACCAGAATGGTGTACGTAAAGGAAGAACTGCTACCCACATAGCAATTGCAATCATCACCAATATAAATAAACACCCATCAGAATGGTGCTGCTAAGTAAAATAATCAAAGTATTTATTCAATTCAATTAAACCATTTATTAAATATAGGCACTTTTGAAAGTCAAACGTAGCTCGTACCATATTGTAGATTCCGATAGAGAAGAATGAGCAAGAGACCCTGTGATTACTCTTTTCATACTTACTTATTTATTAAACCCATTTTACAGCTCTCTGGGTGGCGCGAGAGAAAGTGTCAGATTTACTGACTAAGAGCCACCCTGTTCTTTCTATAGCTCCAGGGCTCCCCTTGGTTACTGTTACTAAACCACCACTATAACGCTCTATTGAATTCTAAACCGTTAATTACCTACATACATGGCTTATTAAGCAAGTTGACTCCGACAGCCATACTACCTAGGTATATCAAGTTACCTGTCGTCATACGCACCAAAAATAATCACGATGACACATCTTTTTGACCACCTGACCGATAAACATATAACCAATTGAGTATACGAGTATCCAGCCACTAGCACTTAAAGGAATTTCAACTTTTTAGTTATGGAATAAAATAAAAAATCGATTGAAGTTTACAGATGGGAACATCTTCCGTACATATACCTCCTTATATTATATACAGGTAATAAAGGTAGGTATCCAATCTTTCGCAGTGTGAGTCAACCTCTTTGTAACCAACGAACACGCTTCGTCACTTTATTGTATAGTTAATACTTTGTCAATATTTAATTAATTGCTTGACAAAAGTAATCGCATATTATCAGCCAGTTAAACACTATTTCTATTCAAAGTCACGGTCATTGGTATTGAATTGCCTACTATAAGTACTTATTTATTGAGAAGCGATAATTTGAACATGTAGAGCATGACTCTTACTAGGCTGTATTAACATACTTTTTTATAGCATTAGAGGACAAACAAACAGATAAATGAACTATTGCGAAGCAAAGTGTGGGAGAGCCATGCTTCGGCTCGACCGGAGTGATACCACGGCCTCACAGAAAACCGGCGTGAAACAACCACAGCGTTGTGTTTCGCCGTGTGAGTGAGGTTACCGGAGGCCTAATCTTACCCCACCTCCAATCCCTCCTCAATCCTTAATTCTCCAAATCCCTAATCCCTAAAAGGTCGGCAACGCACTCGTAACTCCTCCGTTGCGGGGGCGGCGCTGATTACTTACCATCAGGTAATCCGTCTGCTCGTTTGCCGATCTATTAAATAAATAAAAAAAAATCGGCATCGTCCCCGGACAGCCGCAACACTAAAATGGTAAAAGAAAAACAATTTTACCTACTTAAAAACCTTTAATGTACCTTATCACCTATATTCTTTAACCTTCTCTATAGCCGCAGTGGTTAATAGTCATCTCATTTTCGGAATTCCTCTGGTACGCCTCAAAGAGCCTACAGACCACCACAAATGGAGCCCCACACAGCCGATGTCCAGCCGATATTCCGAGGCAAGCGAGGCCTGGAGCAGGAGATGGAACGGGGGTCATTAGTCATTAAGAGCCTAACACTCGATCTCGCCTTAACCTGGGCTACTGGGAGAGAAGAAATGTAATGGTTTTCCTCTTACAAAAAAAGCTCTTGCACATAACAGCTGCCGTCCAGGCAGAACAGTCCATGAGTCTCAAGATTGTTATTTAAGGGGCTTCAAGGGAATTGCGTATCCTCCGCGTCCCTAAAACAGTCCCAACAGCAATATAAATTGACGTGTAAAAGTGCCGTTTTATGGCCTATTTGCAAAAAAATTCGTTGTTTCAATCACATTCTGTCTTGCCAATCACATCAATCAACAATTACATAACCGACAATGGTGAACAAATACACAATATCAATTAATATGTGTGCGAGTATTATGTATCGGTAACCCTATACAGGTTGCAAGTTATGTACCAACCCTGCGGTGTCTGCGATATGAGATCGCAACCACACGGCGTGCAACATTTTACTTACCAACGCAAACGGTACTATGCACCGTTAACTAATTACAGAAGTTCACGACTTATTGGGTTATCTAAGTATTTAGTTTTACTATTGTAGTACCTAGATTTTGAATATGCTGTTAATTTTGTTATAGGTTTAATTCTAAGGGTTTGCTGCTATTGGATCCATTGAATATTATCAGTTTCGCTGTTATGCTAGCACGTCAAAAACAATGAGCTTAATTCAAAATCGGAAAAATTGTTGATAATGCATTATAAATTATTTCTGTCAGCTATTCGGTGCATTGAATAACTTATGTAAATTTTAGAACTTTTTTATGTTTAAAATGTTGTCCTTTAAGTGTATCTTTACATACACCACCTGCATACACCACATATCTAGAAAAGGCCGCTAATGTTCATAGCTAAAATAGGCCGCTGGTGATGGTCTAACTATCCATATTGGCGAAAAAGGCATAATATTATCGCATAGGGCCAACATGTCTATATAGATCAAGCCATGTCTTTAAGTATCCAATTTTGTTAAAGCATTGCATTATTAAGTGTGGGAGAACTTTGGCATAGACGACCGGCTCGGCCAGATTGATACTATGGCCTTACAGAAAACAGGCTTCAAACTACGCATGTTGCTTCCCCCATCTCCAAGTCACTTAATTCCCCGTTCCCGAAATACCTAAACCCCAAAAGTTCGGCAACGCACTAGTAAATCCTTGTTATTGTAGGAACCCGCAGGCGATGCCAATTGCATAACTATCAAGTAACCCATCTCTCTTGTAGCTGCCGCATCCTTGATCCTAGCTGACTCGTTTCCCGACCTATTCCAATAAAAATATTAGTTTACTATTTTAGCTTAAATTAGCTTACGGTTTTTTAGTGAAGCATAATGTTCAGAACTAATGATAGCATAAAATAAACACTAGTTCGCAAACACTGTTTAGCATCCTCCACCCACAAACAAAAGCAAAGTCAATGACACAAGTAATACGTCTCACATTGCATTATATCTGACCAAAGACTTGAAGGTCTCAAAATTGGTTCGAGAAATACAGAGGATTGAGAATGATTCAGAACAAACTATTATCTTGCTTTACCTTGGCATTAAAACTGAATTTAATATAACAATAAAAATCTTAAAAAAGCGGTGACTCAAGGTTTAAATCCTTCGCTTTTTATCTGTAGTGTGAATGCACCCGTATACAATGAATGTGCCCGACAAACAAAGACAGTTCCCAAAAATTATTCATACTTAGACATTACTAGAAAGTGTGTCAGCGGATTATATTGATGTGACTACGCAATATTTTTCACGGAATCAAATACTTACTGAACAAAGGAGTCGCAGCTGCGATTTCCGAACAATCCTATCCATGTCCTGAAGTTGTTCTCACTTTATGGGCTTGGACTTTCCATGGGTCGAGACATATAACATGAGACTCATGGTCTTAAGCTCTCGATGGGGCTTGGACATATTACATGACTTTTTTATGTGATAAGACGGCAAACGACTGAAGCTTTACCTGACGGTGAGCAATCACCGCCGCTCATGGATCGTGAACGGAAGAGTTACAAATGCGTTGCCGTCCTTTAGGGGATTAGGGATTTGGACATTTTAGGATTAGAGGAGGGGAAGGATTGGGGATTCAAGCGGCGTGCTCTATTTGTGCTCTTTGATAAGTGTTACGCAAAACGAATGAAGAAACTTGATTTTATGTGTAAGCCAGGACCTGCAGAAGACCTATGAAAACCACCAAAACACTGAGACTTAAACAATAAGATGATACTATACTGGAGGGAAATTAAATACCTACTGAAGCAACTTTACGATCGTTCCTGAATCCTTTGTAGGAACTAATATTAAGTATGTATATGTAAATGTGAAAATTTGTGAGATGTATGTTTGTTATTCTTTCATGCAAAAACGGCTGGACTGATTTTAAATTAGGTAAGTATGTATATGTGAATCCTGGATTAACATAGACTATTTTTTGTCAATATACCACGCGGGTGACGCGGGCGAAGCCTCTGGCGCAAGCTAGTACAGATCACAAAATCAAAGTTGCTTTCTTTAACGAAAGAACAAAACAAACTGGTTCATTAAACAGTACGATTCGCGATACATGTGTGAATAGGTTCATTGTAAGAGGATGCCTTACAGAACGTATCCGTCGAAGTTCTAGTAACAAGGTATTTCTAGTGAAATACCACGCGACAAGACTGGCTTCCGGGTTGAGCGTATAGCCGAGGTTGTTTTGAAATCCGATGCCGACTACACCTGCGGCTTGTTGGTCGATTCATGCGCAGTTTTATACCAATCATTTTATATGTATAGTACATTGGGGCACATCTGTTTGTGTTGCAGCTTGATCAATAAATATTTTCGCTTTTACACTCCGTGCAGGTGATAGCTAATAATAAGTACATAACAACACCATGCGTGGTTTTCCTCTTTACGATATAATATATTTAGTACAATACTAATATATTGGGTTTTCCTTTTAAGCGTTTATGTTTCACACGTAAACAATATTCCAAAGGTTTACTAAAGTAAGCAGCTAGGTATAAATGTATTATATATCTGAATGTACACGAGGCTCTTACAGAACTCTGCAAGTTACGCTGCCATAAGATGGGACAAATCAATGTTAATAAAATATTTTCAGGAAGTGTGTCTTAAATATAAAAACGAATAAAAAAAGCTTTTCAAAAAGGAAAAAAATTCCTCCTTTGGAGGAAAATAGTTACGTACCTGCTTCCTTCATTTAATTGTCTCAAGTTTTTTATTTATATTGAGTAGCTGCGGTATAGCCGTTATTTAACCTATACATACATTACCTAGTTAGTAGTACCTGGATGACCAAGCATAGTTTGGATTTTTTTCATTAAAATTTTCTGATAAATACTCCTAACAAGATCGATTTAACGGCCCCGACAACCTCTGTATGCAACATTTTATGATAAGTACCTAATCGTTGGTACTGTTTCCCAGATACCTTAATATACTTATAGGAATGTATTCATATAAAAGAATAAGATTTAATGTCACCATATTATGTAGTTATAAAGATTTTATGGGTGTTTTTGCTGGCATCAAAATATCGTACCTAATCCACTTTTCACAATCACTCTTAACGAAACCTCTTCTGAACATTCAGCTATTTTAAACAATCTGACAAAATTCCTTCGTAGATTTTCAACCTTGTGCTGACTGCAATAAAGTCGAAAATTCGATTTCAGAACTATAGGTACGCTAGCTACATGTGTATTTTGTATTATAAAATTGACTATTACCGATACAAATGCTAAAGTTAATTGCTGTAGCAGTGAACAAATTGAACTCACGTATATACTGTGTTACCTCAGATAATATAGTTCATTGTACAATCAACAAAATCATTTGAAATGCAGGATTGAAAAGAAATATGGATTCAGTACAGGAATTGTAACCAATGGTAAAAGACTATTTAATTCCCTCTTTTTTTTTCTTCCCCTCAAATAATATCTTCTGATTCATTTCGTTACGTTTCGTTTAGTCATTCATGTCCCTGGGACGCGCCGGACTTTTGTTTCGGCATTTCTATAGTTGTATCTACTGTAAATCTTACTGGAGTTGCAGCGGTTTTCGGATCAATTAAATAGGCAATAGGCAATAGGTAATCTACAGCTGTGGCTGTGCTACACAATCATATATGTATATGCTAAACCTAAATTCTGTTTGTTCGGAGATAGTACCTAAGGTACCTAGTATTATTATCTCTGTCCTGATTAAATTTTTATTAGTACACTTGGACACCAAATGGCTTGATCGACTGTACCTGCGATCCTAAAAAGCCAATTAACCCGTGATCCGTGAGTCATACTATTGAAGATCTCATCTAAAAGAGAGCATGAGTCTGGTCAAATTGGACAACAAAAAATATGGTGGATCGGTGAGGTAAGTAAAAACATGTGCTACCGATAAAATTGTTAAGTTGATGATAGCGCAAGAACTGAGTATGGAACTTACGGTACCAATAGTTTTAAACTAAAAATAAATAAATCACCTTTGTATAAAACTCTAGTATCATTAAGATACTATAAATGAATAACCGACTTCATAATCAAAAAAAACTAAAAGGTAATGAAAATAAACTCGATAAAGTCATTAATAAAATATCTTGCCACCAGATTCATTTTTCAAAACGGACTAATAAAGTCGGATGAATACACCCTATGGTTAATAATGAAAAAAATACTTGCCGCCATATATTTTTTAAAAGTCATGCAATGCTGGATGTGGGCCTTAATATAAACAAAAATAGTGTCGAATTAAGGACCTGCTCCATTTTATAAAGGGGATCAGTAGAAACTGGAAACCCTAACGGGCTTGTGATCGAGTATTGTGAGACGTTCATGTTGATCCAGATTTAATGTAGTAAGCTTATGTAATATAGGTATACACAACAACCAACCCTCTGGTCTCTGACGTTGAAGGTATCAGCGGCTATAGTTACTTACCATCAGGTACTTTATAATCTTATTTGCCATCCTACACCAAATAAACCAAACAACCAACTGAACTGTAACTGTCACAAACGTTTAATCTTCAAATATTTCTAAGCTATACGGATTTCCTAGTAAGATGATGATAAAATCAACATAAGCTAAACACGTTTTAGACGTAACGGCCTTCGTTAGCCTTGACCTCTGGTCTTTGGGACATAATAATATACATATTTACATATACGTTAATAATTTTGATATCACTGTTGCTATTTAATAATTCTTTTGCAATCGTAGTCTCACTTAAAAAAATCTATCTGTACTTATAATAAATCTGTAGAGAGGTCAATTCTGTACATTAAATATATGTTTTATTTAGGCAGCAGTAGCTTTGAATAAGGTCGGCGCAGACGGATAACCTGGTGGTAAGCTAATTGCTTGCGTTGCCCACGAATACTATCAACATCAAGGAGTAGGGTTTTTAGGGTTTTATGGGTTGGGGGAATCAGGGATAAGAGAATGCAAGATTAACTGTATATCATACCTGTGCCGTGTAAAATACTAATGTGTTGGCACAAGCTGTCCATTGCTGAACCAACCTTATTTAACATAATTTTCCTACTGTTAGTCAGACACTTCAACGAAACAATTGCAGCTTATTTATGTATGATAATATCATGCACGATATTTATTTGCATAAAGTACATAACTCAAAATGGTGGCTGACTTTCCAATGGCGACTTCACTAGCATGAAATTAAAATCCCTATCTTGTAACAATATGTTTATGTACTACATAGTAGGATAGGGTGGCCCTCCCTAATTCCTAACACTTCGAATCCCTAATCCCAAAAAGTTAGACAACGCACTCGTAATTCCGCTGCTGTTGTAGGCGTCAATAGCGAAGGGCGGCAGCGATAGCGAACCATCAGGTAAAACGTAGGAATTCTCGTTTACTGAACAATAACATAAAAAAGTGAAACTTTTCTATTTAAAATTTGCTATTGCAAAATACTTAAATGCTGTGGCGGGAAACGGAGCGAAAGAAACAAAAATATTGAGTCTTTCCTCTTTATAATATAAGCGTAAATAATCTCATTTCAGGTCTAAAGAAGATTAAAATCAATTTAGCTATTGATTTGATAATGGCATTGCCATGACCGCTGACCGTAATGTCCGGTGACCACCAACGTTTTATTAGGTTTCTTTTTATTCCTCATTTAAACCGGGTGTAGCTGAATGTTGGACATTAATTGACCTCTAACATACATACACGGCCGCCTATGTCTCGTTGGATAGGCAGAAATTACCATATTATACAATACTTATAATTATGAAAGGCGAAACTTGGATGTCGCCCTTTTGACCCTTTTTTTATGCACGAGGAGTTCAAAACTTGGTAAGTGCCAATGTGATATTTCCCGAGTTATGTGTTACCTACTTTCTAAGATTTAGACACCACTAACATACGGTGAGAAAGAATATCTTGAGGAAACTTGGACCTATTATTTCTAATTATAAGTTTGAAATCGCCAATTCGCCTTGTTCAAGCGCGGTGATTAATGCCTCAAACCTTCTCCATATCAGAAGAGGGTCTTTGTTCAGCAGTGAGCACTTAATCATGTCTTTACGTTCAGGGAATAATTGTGGTAAAATTATATCATAAAATTATAATAGATATGCGTGTTATTGCCTAAGGTCATATACAAAGACATGCAACGTCAAATTGTACGTAACTAATAAACTCAGAACAATACAAACCGTCCACAACAAAAATACTACTTTCTGATAATTTGTTCTATTATAATTACCTACACGTAAGCCAACAACCCATGAATAGCCGCAATCTACGTTATCACAAAGACAATTCACTAAGCAAATAGGAATAACCATAAAATGAAACATTTCGAAACGCTTAAGCTACAGTTATCAGGCGAAATATTTCTTTGTTTTATCCAAGATAATCTTATAAGGCGAGTCAGTTGACCTA